CTGTCGCCTCAGACGTGGGGGTGAAAACAGAGACGTTAGAGTTCGGACTGTTTTTCCAATAAACGCACGTCTGGTACGGTTTGTGGTGTGAACCCGATGAAGTCGTCCATTAGACGTACAGTACGGTCAGAAAGTTCTAAGACAGACGTACAGTACGGTCAGAAAGTTCTAAGACAGACGTACGTTAAAAAAGTCGTCTGATTTTTCAGAGTCTCTTCACACGTTTGTCCAGTTCTGTGGTTTCACTTGTTTATTGTTTTAACGCTCTGTTAATTCTCTAACGAGTTGACTCTGTGTGTTTGACTCATCAGTGCCCCCTGGAGTTGGGCTGCCCTTCTTATGATCACAGACTTTGGGCTTAGACTTAACTGAAAGATATCATTATTTTTTATGGCTAAAATCTGTTGAATTTCACTCAGACTTCTGCTGAGTCACAGCGTGGAGAGAAGATCGTGGTGACGACATGTTCCACGTCTTTTCAACAGAACAGACTCAAATGTCTGGAGTATTGTACCTTGATCAGGAGTACTGTAATACTCTAACTGTTGGATGGAGACGAGGAGACTCTCTGTTGACGACCCCTCTGGACTGAAGTGTTGGTCAGAGAGATCATGGTGCTGTCAGTGGGACTGACTCAGGGTTCAATGACTGAACTGTGAGTGACAGGTGAGCAGGTCCAGAAGTTCTAAGAGAAAGTCTGCTCTCTGGGGCCACCTCCAGGTCACGACCCACGTCTTTAACTCATGTTGGTTGTTTTTTTTTTAGTTTTGTGGAAAAATCTCATTGAAGAAGAAAGGTGGTTTAAAAATTGAATGTGCAACTCCCCTAGGGGGCGCTAGAGCCCATCACGGGAGAACACAGGAAAAAAGTTGAATGTACTTTAACAACATGCTTTTCATGGAAGAGTGAAACTGGATTTTTAGTTTATTTTATAACTTGAATTCTCATTAGTCCAATAGCTGTAAGGGCAGTTTGTAGATGATTGGGGGGGGGTGTCAGGGGGGGGGGGGGGGGGTTATTTATTTATTTTTAGCCTCTAATATCCTAATATTCAGACTTTTAAAACCAAAACCTGATTCCTGGCTTCAGTATTTTCAACAGGTTTCCATTCGAGTTTGGTTCCGTTTTTTTAGGTGTTGAAAAGTTGATCAAATAAAAGTCGACTCTGACGGAGACGATAAAACTGGAAATGTTTTTAAACTGAACATCTGACTTCAGGTCATTTTCAGCCCCTTCTCCTTCTTGTGCCACTTGTCAGTTTTGAAGATGTTGCAGGACTTTTTTTTTTTTTTGAGGACGAGGGAAACACGGGGGTTGACGTGGGCACGACCTGTGCCTAACCCGACGACCTCAGGGTCATCCAGTGGAGGAGTAGGGTGTGTCGCTGTGGTAGTTGTAGTCGGGGCAAACCTTCTGCACCAGTTTATAGTCTATGCTGTAGAAGGCGATGTAGATGCAAATGACTTTGAAAGGTTTGGAGCAGAGCCAGGACACGTGGCTCTGCGTCAGCTCGTGGTAGCACGTCTTGGTCGGTTCAAAGGTGCAAACGCCCGTCTTCTTGTTGCGGTCCGTTTTCTCGTACTCGATGCGGCAGTTGAACGATTTGGTGTCTTTGGTCTCCGGCAGCGCGGACTGTTGCGCCATCTCAAACTCCACGACCTTGGAGGGCGGCACCAGACTGACCGACACGTTGCCCAGGCCCGTGGAGTTGTGGCGGAAATACACGCTGAAGGTTCCGTTCCCGTGGTCCACGATCTTCCCCGTGATCAGCAGGTTGAGTTTCAAAGTCTTGATGTTGGAGTGGAAATCCCCCCACCCGAACATCTTTTTGAACTTCCCAGTCTTGACGATGGGCCTCCGTTTGGTTCGGGCCTGTGCTCCCTGAATGTCTGTGTGGTTTGATAACCAGTCCCACGAGTCCTCGCTGTTCTGCAAATACGTGATTGTGAATCATCAGCGCTCCAAAAAGTTATTACATCCAAAGATTCATAACTGAGGATGAAGAGTAAATATTTACCACAGTAAAACAAAGCAAGTTCACCTCTGGGAAAAGTATTTATAGACGACGGCTTTTCAGAAATGACTTGAAACACGTCCTTTTAGTACGAGTTGGTGTTTGGAAATATACAAAAGATTATTTTACACAGTTTCCTCTGGAGATCAGAGGTTGAGAAGTTACAGCAAATACCTGAGAGATGTGTACATGTAGGTCTGTAGTACGTCTGTAGTAGGTCTGTAGTAGGTCTGTAGTACGTCTGTAGTAGGTCTGTAGTAGGTCTGTAGTACGTCTGTAGTAGGTCTGTAGTACGTCTGTAGTAGGTCTGTAGTAGGTCTGTAGTAGGTCTGTAGTAGGTCTGTAGTAGGTCTGTAGTAGGTCTGTAGTAGGTCTGTAGTAGGTCTGTAGTAGGTCTGTAGTACGTCTGTAGTAGGTCTGTAGTAGGTCTGCAGTAGATCTGTAGGTCTGCAGTACGTCTGTAGTAGGTCTGTAGTAGGTCTGTAGTAGGTCTGTAGTAGGTCTGTAGTAGGTCTGTAGTAGGTCTGTAGTAGGTCTGTAGTAGGTCTGTAGTAGGTCTGTAGTAGGTCTGTAGTAGGTCTGTAGTAGGTCTGTAGTAGGTCTGTATGGTCTGTAATGCAGCTTCCACCGTGACCTCTGACCCCGGCCTGCCCTCTTCTTCTTCTTCTTCTTCGTTGTCTTTTCTCTCCAGGCCTGGTTGTAGGTCAGTGACAGGAGCAGCGTCTGTTCAGAATCACCTTCCAGACTAATTACACTCCTGCCATATGTTCGTCAACTAACGATCTGGGTTAGCTCGGATTTCACACTATGTTTGTTTGCAGCGGCGCCCCCAAGGTGTGGTCATGGTTGAACTGCAGCACTGGTAACATCTGCCTCGCTTTCTTCTCACACACACACACACACATATATTGTTGTGTTTCCTCAGATGTAACAGTACAGCGCTCCAGTTGTGCAGTTGAAGGTTCTCTCTGTCCAATCATTTAAGGCTTCATCAGGGTTCATGATATCCAGACTCTGATCAATCGTGATCGTTTTGCTCTAAATAGATCAGCGGCAGACGAGGCCGAGCTGCAGCACAGCCGTCTCTGACCGTTCGTCCACAGCTCCATGTTGACCGTCATCATGGACGGATGAGGCCTCGCGCGTCTGCCTCCGTCGCGTCCGCGGTCGTTAAATCGGCCGGCTCCGGCGCCGGTATTCCCCGCTGACGCCTCCACGCAGCACGCCTTGTCTGAGCTCAGCTGTTAATTTGATTGGACCGTTACCAAATTGACATTAACAGCCAATGTTCTACATAAAATAAACGCCATCCCAACAGGAGCCGTTCACCACAGCTGCCGACAAGGTCGACGCTGCGATCGTCTCGCCGTGAGCCCGGGCCCGGGCCCGGGTGGCAGCAGGGGTGGAGTTAAAGTGAGGACGACGAGGGGTCAGCAGAGGGACGGAGGGTTCTGGAACAGGTTCTCTCACCCACTGTCACCCTGCACACGTCACTGCACTGCCATCACACACACACACACACACACACACACACAGGCCGCCACAATTCTCTTTAAAACAGACACAGGAAATCGATTTTATAATGTTATGTTATTATTTTATTGTTTTTAATTATTTTTATTATGTTATTATGTTATTATTTTATTATTTTTATTATTTTATTATTTTATTATTTTTATTATTTTATTATTTTATTATTTTTATTATTTTATAATGTTATGTTATTATTTTATTGTTTTTAATTATTTTTATTATGTTATTATGTTATTATTTTATTATTTTTATTATTTTATTATTTTATTATTTTTATTATTTTATTATTTTATTATTTTTATTATTTTATAATGTTATGTTATTATTTTATTGTTTTTAATTATTTTTATTATGTTATTATGTTATTATTTTATTATTTTTATTATTTTATTATTTTATTATTTTTATTATTTTATTATTTTATTATTTTTATTATTTTATAATGTTATGTTATTATTTTATTGTTTTTAATTATTTTTATTATGTTATTATGTTATTATTTTATTATTTTTATTATTTTATTATTTTATTATTTTTATTATTTTATTATTTTATTATAATAATTCTGACAGAATGATGGACTCCAGACTTCGTATCAGCAGCGTTTTTCTGATGACCAGCAGAATTGTGAGGCGGTAGAACAAGTGTTCAAACTAGAGCTGTCAATCAAAGACATTTTTAGCAGCTGTTCATTTTTTTCACACCTGGTTTTTATTTATTTCTGTAACTTCTCTGGATGATGCAATTACTTATATAGAAAAATGTCAAGAAAAATATCAAAAACTGTTCCTTCATCAAGTTAATGGGTTTTAGTCCGTGCTGGTCATCTTGACGGACGGACGGATGTTAGGGATGAGTGCCTTAATTGTGAATGCATTAAATAATTTGTGAGTTTTATTGTAACTACACACACAGTGACAGCTGCCATTGTATACAGTATATAAATATATATAAATATATATATACTGTACATCCACAGGTGTCTTTGTGACGTACATGTGATTTATCATGGTGTAAATCAGTGTTAACCAGAGGCTCTGACAGTGGCCTGAGCAGCAGCAGCAGCAGCAGCAGTCGCCCCCCCCCCCCCCCGCCCCCCCCCCCCCCCCCCCCCGCCCCCGCCCATGGAGCCGGCTGTCCTCCTGTCCCGTGGGTGGACATATCTTTTAGAGGACTGACATCAAGGTAATTGCGCGGTGACCAGAAGTCGCCTCTAGAAGGTTATTAAGAAGTTAGTGACATCTGGTTCTGGATCATCTGTACAGATGCTGTTCAGATGCATTTGCAGGGAGCGGTCAGAGATGTCGTGCTCGGCCGTGATTGGTTCTGGGCCCCAGGCGAGGCGACGGTGGCGTTCTGACTCCGTCCATCAGCGAACCTCTAATCTAGATGTTTCTGCATCAGTGTCTTTTTTACTAGAACATTCCCGCCGTAGGGCAGTGACAGTAATGTGGTGTCAGTTTATCCGTAGGTCGTTTTCGTAGTTCGGTGTCGAGAGAATGGTTTCAGGCGTCTTTCTCACAATAAACAAAATGGACAATTAACCCGTCGGTCGGCGCCGGCGGAGCGGCTCCAGTGATGCACTCGGCTGTTCTTCATGGATTTATCTGTGCAAATTGACCTCACTTTGGTGGAGCAATTCATTTCTCTGCTCATTTCCTGTGTCAGAAGCTTCATTAACTTGACGGACGGACGTTTCACACAAATCTCCCAGAATTCAACACTCTCTCTCCCTGGTAGTTTCCCATCACCTGCGCAGCGCCACCTGCCTCTCAGTCAGTCCCGGTACCCCCCCACCCCCCCCCCCCCCCCCCACCGTTCACCTGACGCTCCCAGACGTGTCAGTTGTAACGACAGCAGCTCTGGATGTTAGTGAAGAACAGGTTGGAGCTGAGATCGAGGATCAACTTCACGCTCCACAGACGTCGCTCTAATCAGAGCCTGTCCACACACACACACACACACACACACGGCACAACAGCAGTGTGTGTGTGTGTGTGTGTGGGTGTGTGTATACCTGCAGTTCTGAACACAGCAGCCTGATTCTTGACAGGGTCAAAGGACAGAGAGCCTCTGACCTTTGACCCTAACCCTCCACTGGCTCCTGGTTCATTTTATTTTTATTTATTTATTTTGTTCTTTCATCTAAATCTTCTCTCTGATCTTTTTCTCCCTCCGTGTTAGTTCAGCTCAGACCTCACGTTGGTTCTGTGTTTGAATTTATTGTATCCTTTTCTGTAGTGGTATAGAACTGGTCCGGTTTACGGTACGGTACGGTACGGTACGGTACGGTGTAGGCTGTTGTCACCTGACGTCTCTGACCCTGAGACAAACCACAACCTTTGACTCCGTCCACCAGCTCCTGTTCATTTCTGTCTTCATTCGTCTTCAATTATTAAATTATATTTAATACATTCGTAATGTGACTAATTACAATCATGATTAATCAACACTCCTAAATATAATATCATTATTAAATCAAATGATTAAATCAAAGCCTTTGATGTCACTTCATGTCCCACAAACTGAACTTAAATCAAACGTTCTCAGCGCAGCGTCGTCGACCGACTTTTACTCCAGAAACCAAATTATTGTCCTTCACACGAAATAAAATAATAACAGTCTCTAAAGTGGAACTATTTATCAGTGTGTGTGTGTGTGTGTGTGTGTGTGTGTGAGCGCAGGTTTATCTCTCAGACACACAGACAGAGCAGAGTCGGAGCCGCTCGGCCCCGCAGCGTCACAACGATTTCACTTCATTCCGAGAATTGTTGACGTGAACAGAAGTGACCGAAGGGGGAGGGAATTTAAGGTCGCACAAAATCATGTCAAGTTAAAAATTTAAGTTTACATTAAATTAAATAAAACCAAAAAAAAAGCTTTGTCTAAAGAAAAGAAATGACATTATTTATATCTTTCCATGTTTTCCAGCAAATTTGGCAAAACCCAGGCATTGGGTTATCAGATTTTTATTATCGGAAGAAAAAGTGACAATGATTTTACTGATGTTACATAATTATGCTAATATCGTGTCGATAATATCCTCCGACCGATATGATTGGACGTCCCTACTTAATTTGCATTAAATAGTGTGTTGTATTAGATATTTTATTTGTTTTTCTGTTCAGATCAATGGAGAGAAATGACGACGACCTTTGATAAAAACTATTTCTCAGGTCGTGTTAACAGTGAACAAGTTCTTCACAGGGAAGAAAAAAAAGTCACGTATTGTGATTTTTTTTAACTAAACAGTATCAAATATTTAAAGTAAAACTGCAGGTCTGATTAATTAGGTGTTTTACAGGGATATGAATATATGTTTTATATTTATGTATGTATATATACCTGACTGCTGTAACTGTATATATTTATGTTCATGTAAATAGTCACA